TAAAATCATGATCCAATATCGTTGTCCGTGATTACCAGTCCTTGGTCAAAAACTTCATCGCATCGGATTAGCCGAATGCTTGCTCAAACATCCATGTCTTTAGTTTTTCCCGAAATGCCATCAGCGAAGAGGCTGATCTTATCTCTATAGGGAGGGCATTCCAAAGCCGCGGGGCCACCACAGAAATACAAACACCAGTGACTAATGATGGACTGGCTCTATTAGAACTAGGAAATCCTTAAATATATTCAGCATAGTTCTTAAAAAGGGTTTTAATTGTTATGTATTGTCAAAGGTTTTCGTGGCTGAAATCACTAGGATGTTGTAAGCTTTTCAGGCTGTATGGCCATGTTCCAGAAGCATTTTCTCCTGACATTTCACCTGCATCTATGGCAAGCAGAGGTTGTGAGGTCTCTTGGAAATTGTCCACATGCTTGTGGATTTCAATGGCTTCTCTGTGTAGTCTGACATCGTCTGTTAACGTGGTGCAGTATTTCTGTGTTCTTAAATAATATGCTGTGTCCAGGTTGGTTTATCAGGTGCTCAGCTATGGCTGACTTCTCTGGTTGAAGTGGTCTGCAGTGCCTTTCATGTTCCTTGATTCATGTTTGGGGGCTGCATTTGGTGGTCCCTGTAGACTTGTCCACAGCTGCATGGTATACAGTAAACTGTTGCAGAGGTGAGATGATCCCTCTTTTGAGTAGATAGTTTGTAGGTAGTGTTTCCTCATCAGCTTCCCTATGAGGTCAGTGGTTCACTTGATGTATGGCAAGAACACTTTTCTTTGAGTGGATCTTTGTCTTTATTCTCATGGCTTGTTCTTGGTCTTGCAGCTCTTCTGATGTCTGTGTTGGAGTATTCATTGGCCTGTAAAACCCAGTTTCGGTGGTTCTAAACAGGTGAATGGGTACTCCATCACAGACATCAGAAGAGTTGCAAGACCGATTTATAATGCCAAAAAGAATAGGGAACTAGCAGATTTGATTTCATTCTAGAAGCAAATTAAAGAAGTTTTCCTTATTGCTCTGCCTTATGGTTTCTTCTTATTCTGGTTCAAATGAAATTGAAGCAGCATTACAGAAATGATTTTTTCATGCTTGACATTACTCTTCTAGTCATGTAAACCAAGTGGAGTTGAAATGGAATTGATATCACTTTTTAGTTTTGTGATAGCAGTTGATTCCTTGAGGGCAAAAGTTCTGTTATGCAGGCAAACCAAAGCTAACCCTCATTTCTCTATGTCTGTTCTGGCCAAAGTTGAGTTGCACTGAAAAATCTAGAGATTCCTGTAAGGTAGGTTTTTATTCATGTTTTTTCCACTTTCACAGGGGCACTCTGTCTCTAGCCTCCATGAAGCTGGAGAACTGACTGTATCTAAGATAATTGAAAAGATACGTTAGAAATGTTTGGAAAGCTATGAAGCTTTTAAAGCTAATAGGATTTTTTTTAAAAATTAAATACTATACCCCAAAGTACAAGTGGCACAAATAAAGAAGGGGGGGGGGTCTATCTTCAAATGAGTTCCTATGGGGAGTAATCCCGCTTAGATTGCTGCAACGCTCTCTACGTGGGGTTGCCTCTGAAGACTGCCTGGAAGCTGCAGCAAGTACAACGCGCGGCAGCCAGATTACTAACGAGTGCGGGGTACAGGGAGCACACCACTCCGCTGTTACTCAAACTCCACTGGCTGCCGATTAGCTTCCGAGCACAATTCAAAGTGCTGGTGTTAACCTATAAAGCCCTAAACGACTCCGGCCCTGTTTACCTCTCCGAACGTATTCTCCTACGAACCATCAAGACCACTAAGATCGTCTGGAGGGGCCCTGCTCTCGGTCCCACCGCCTGCACAAGCACGGCTGGTGGGGACGAGGGACAGGGCCTTCTCGATGGTGGCCCCTCGACTTTGGAACTCCCTGCCATTAGAGATCAGAACTGCCCCCTCCCTCATGACGTTCAGGAAACTAACAAAGACCTGGTTGTGGAACGCGGCATTTGACAACTGATTTAATTCTTTGCCCACATGAAAGGAGGATGATGAATGGGATTGTGATGGTGTCGGACGATTTGGCTCTTTTAACTGTGATGATAATGTTTTAATGTGTATAGTGCTGATATTTTAATCGTGTTATGAAGTGGCATTGTGTTGTTATTGTATATTCTTTGTATGTTAACACATGTTGTGAACCGGTCAGAATCCCTCTTTGAATGTGAGAGGGTCGGTATATAAAACCTCGAAATAAATAAATAAATAAATAAATAAATGGAAATAAAGATGAAGATGGGGATGACTCACACTGAGTAGCAATATGAGTCAGGTAGGTGGAGGCAATGGCTCCTTGTAGACCCTTAATTAACATTTTAGGTCTTTCTATGTTACACTTAAGAACTAAACAATTCTCCCAAAGCAGCTTTTAAAACATTCTGTCATTGCATTTAATGATCTGCCATATTGTGACAAAATTCTTTTTATACTTCTTTGTTATCTTGTTTTAGTCTAATATTTGTATGTACTGTTCTGAGCATATGTCACCTAATTGTCTTGGCAGAAGAGTAGGGTATGAATTATGCAGAACCATTTCTTTTTCTTTCCTTTTTTCTCCACCACTGTATCAGTACATGTAAATAATAGTTGACAAAACTTGATCCAGTTTTGATTGCTGAGATAAAAATATGGTTGATACATTAACTAATGATTGTACAGTGATCTAGAGTCAGCTGCAAAGTTTTCAAAACAGCAATAAATAAATTTATAATATGTAGAGTTGATGTTAAGAAAATAGCCATTTAGAAGTTCATGTTCTACTTCAATTCCAAATGAAAGTATTTATTCCTCTTCAGCTAATCATGTATTTTCTGTAAAATCAACATATCATTGCATTCATATATACAGGCAGCCCCCAAGTTACGACCAAGATAAGTTCTGTAGGTTTGTTCTTAAGTTGAAAAGTTGAATTTGTAATAGGTGGAATAGGTCCATTATATATATCAGCTTTGCATAGCATAAGGAAGGGTTAACTGTGGTGTTTGTTTTGGTTCTCCTGTTCAGAAGATTTCATCTCACTCTCTGTCCCTGTGTTTTTGAAAAAAATTGGCTTGTTGTGGAAACAAGGATTGGGGATAAAGCTTCAGTGGAGACACCTTTCCCCCATGATAACTCTTCAGGGGTGAATTTTCCTTCCTAGGGATACATTTCTCTCACTTCCTGCTTTCCCACCTCCTTTCTTAACTATGAGTTATTTGTAAGTCAGATGTTTGTAACTTGGAAAGTGCCTACACACACACACACAGAGAGAGAGAGAGAGAGAGAGTCCTGTTTCACATTTAGGAAGCTTTTCGTTTCATATAGAATGAATGAAATTGCCATATATATAAGAATATATGTTAAATAGGACACCTAGTAACCCTATCTAGAGCAACAACATAGTATAGTGTTTTCAGCATTGGAATATGACATTAGAGATCAATGTCTGAATCTCGGCTCAGATATGAAACTCACCAGGTGACATTGGGCAAGTCAAACTCTCTCAGTCTCCAAGGAAGGCAATGGCATATACCCTCTGAGCAAATTTTGCCAAGAAAGCCCTGTGTTAGTTTTGCCTTAGGATGGCCATAGTAGAGAATCAACTTGAAGACACACAAACAGTGTGTTTTAATGTTGAGACAAATATTTTTAATGTTTATGTATGCATATAATGAATTCATGTCCTGGCATTGAATGTTTGCCATTTGTATGTTGTGCTCCACCCTGAGTCCCCTTCAGGGTGAGAAGTGCAGAATATAAATGTTTTAAATAAATAAATAAACAATGTTAACACTATCAAGAAATATTTGACAATACACTTTTTATTAGGTGATCAGCAGTGGAAAATGATTCACATTTCAGAATTGAATTCATTTTAGAGAAATAGTCTTGTTAGTCCATTCCAGCCCTGTACCATGTTAGTAAGAAGGCAGGATGCAATACAGAGAATGAATAATACAGAATTCTGGGATGAAATGGACTAGCAAGTTTGATTCTAAGTAATTTTGGACTGCATTGATCCAGGACTTTGTTACAGTGATGTAGCATTACTTTAGCATAACACAACTTTTTTTCCATGTCAGGAGTGACTTGAGAAATTGCAAGTCGCTTCTGGTGTGAGAGAATTGGCTGTCTCCAAGGACGTTGCCCAGGGGATGCCTGGATGTTTTTGATGTTTTACCATCCTTGTAGGAAGCTTCTCTCAGGTCCCCATATGGGTAGCCGGAGCTGACAGTGGGAGCTCATCTGCACTCACTCCGGATTCGAACCTGTGACCAGTCCTGTTGGCACAAGGGTTTAACCCATTGTGCCACCAGGGGCTCCTATTACACAACTGGGAAGACGTCATCATTGTTGTTTTTTTTATAATCTCTTTACATATTTTGTATGCATCTGGGCTATATATAACAAATGTCATCTAATAGATATTGGTTAGTATTGCTATATTCTTCATACGGTAATTGAGTTCGTTTGTCCATCAGCATTATAGTTAATGCTGGAACATCTTGCAAATAAAAAGCCATCTGAAGTGATTAAATATAGATGGTGTTATTGCAATATGTCTCACCACTATTTATTGGTAGTGCTCAAATATATATAATGTTGTTAGTCAGAAAATCAGAATGTCTTGTAGAATTATAGAGTTGGAAGGACCCTATTGAGTCCAACAGGATCTCCTTTAGCTGGAGATCCTTCAGTGCAGGATTTCCAGCTAAAGCATTTCCAGCAGGTAGCTCTTTTTGAAGATATCCATTGAAAGATACTCCAACACCTTTCTGGGTGATTGCCAAATCAATCTTGATACCTTTTTATGAATGACGGTGGGGCTATAAGCCTGTGTATCTGTACCTCGAATTAAGTCTTCCTGAACTCAGTGTAACTCACATCTGAAGATACACAAATTATCTAGGAATGTGAATATTTTACTTTGTTTTATTTATTCTTAATTCAATGTATGTATTTTTTATTATTCCTGTAGCCATTCCTTTGGGAATTATAGTTGTCCGAGGAGACTGTGACTTGGAGACTTGCCGCATATATGTCGATCGCCTGGAGGAGGTGAGTTGCTGCAAAAGATGTAGATTAAGCACACAGGAATGTCTTCACAGAGGAGACATATCGTTAGGGTTTATTTTTGGACATAATCAGTTTGGGTGTCTCTTTCCCCCCTGTGATCTCTGTGCTAACCTTATGTTGCTTGATGTTATGGACATTATGCAGAAAGAGCACATATCTCAGAACTGCAGCCAAATGGATAACTGGGGCTGGTTACAGCACGCAGTACAAATTCCCTTATTGTAATAGATCCAATAGATGCCTTTTCTGGGCACAATTCAAAGTGCTGATTTTTTTTTTACTTATAAGATTATTTGAAGGATCATAACTTAATGTATGAGCCTATCAGAGCTCTAAGAACATCCAGAGAATGCCTTCCCTCTATCCTATCATCTTCTCAGGCTCATTTGGTGGGAACAAGAACAAGTCTTTTTTGGCCGCTCTCAGATATTGGACAGGCCAAAATGGCTCTGTGTTTGTTCTTCTAGCAACCAAGCAAAACATTTTTGCATTGCCAAGATTTTACAAATTGATGAGGGTTTGGCATTTAATGGTGTACAGTGCTATTTTAATATTTTAAAGGGTTTGATTTTGTATAGAAGTTTTTTTAGTGTATTCTAATATTTTAATACTTTATGTTTTAATTTATAAATTGTTTCATTTTTAAAAATCATATATTTATACTGTTATTTTACCATTTGTTTTTAGCTTGTATAATTTTAAATACATTTTTAGCTGCTTTGAGTCCCATTGTTTTATAAATAAATGAAATAAATGATCTCATTGCTGTGTGACACCTGGAACTGGAACAGGATGAAAATGCCCACATAGCTCTTAATCACCCTCAGGCCATTTTTGTGTCCCAGCATTGTTCATTTCAGAAATCAAACATTGCCTTTGTTTTCCAGGCTATTATTTTAGAACCAGTAGGGAAATATTGGCTCACTTTTTTGATGAGTTATGTCCCAGTCATCTCTGCCATGGAAACTCCAATATCAGTGGGCAGGTGATTCTGGTCTGGGTTTTAGACTAAACTTTAAAAGTCTTGTTAAAGATACTGAACCTAATTGGGGTTTAGACTTTAAAGGAGAGATCCTTTACAGTTCAGACTAAAATCCAGAGATGATTAACTTCCCTTCTGGCATTGTAACCATTAGCAACCCCTGCATCTATGTGCCCCATAGTTCTTGCATGGAATTGACTGAAGCATACCTTCACTGCTGAGCTGCTGAACTTGCTGATCAAAAGGTCAGCAGTTCAAATCCACAGAGCAGGGTGAGCTCCTGCTGTTAGCTCCAGCATCTGCCAACCTAGCAGTTTGAAAACATGCAAATGTAAGTAAATCAATAGATATGGCTCTGGCAGGAAGGTAATGGCGCTCCATGCAGTCATGCCAGCCAGATGATCTTGGAGGCATCTATGGACAATGCTGGCTCCTTGGCTTAGAAATTGAGATGAGCACCACCACTCAGAATCAGACACAACTAGACTTAATGTCAAGGGAAAATCTTTACCATTACCTTTTTACCTTTGATATATATATATATATTTAAAAAGGTTGGTGCTTGATATAACAACAGGAAAGTTTAGCATGGAGATGATTAATCATTGTTTGAAGTACTCATTGTTAACAGAATTTGGATTACTCATTGTTTCGGATGTGCTTTTTCCCTACAGGATTTGCAGTCAGTCTCTTCAAATACACAAAGAGTTCACTACCAGGTAAAGCATTTGTTCACCAACCCACGAAGTAAAACGCGAGAATAAAAACACAACAACAATAATTGGATTCAAATTGGGCAACTTTTATTTAACGTTACCTATTTAAGTTCTTAACCTAACTTAAGGGTGTAAGGAACTGGTGTAACCTAACCCAGGTAGCATTACTACCCGATAACCACAATTTCCGGGCGAAGCACCTGGGTTTCGGTAAACAAACCGTATTACCCATGAGGGAAAGGAATAAGGAGTCTCTTCCAGAGCTCTTGCATCGAGACTCCTTCCAATTAAAGGCCATTAACCTACCCCTCACCCAGATGTATAGGTGAGTGTATTAACTTACCGGCCTTTCACCCCTTAAAGGGGTGCCCTAGGTGCACACCGACTAAAGGGAATTACCCTATCTATTTACGCCTGGCCTATTTAAAGCCTAGCCCACGTCCTCCATCTAGCCCCTAAACAGTATAGGGTAGGCAAAAAACCTCCCCCATGAAACAAGAAGAGGGAAAAATTCCTACCCGGCTCCGTAGGCAACCGCAAGATACACTGTTAATGGGCGGGAGTGGTGGGCAACTTCCAGGCGCGGAATGAGCCTGGTAAGGGGCATGGCCTGAATTTGCAGGCCACGCCCCCCACGTTCTGGAGAGTTCTGTCCGAACTCCTCCCTGCCTCGTGGGAGGTGAACAAATGCTGCTTCCTCTCCCCACTTTATGGGGAGATGAAATCTATTGTTCACCAACCCACGAAGTAAAACGCGAGAATAAAAACACAACAACAATAATTGGATTCAAATTGGGCAACTTTTATTTAACGTTACCTATTTAAGTTCTTAACCTAACTTAAGGGTGTAAGGAACTGGTGTAACCTAACCCAGGTAGCATTACTACCCGATAACCACAATTTCCGGGCGAAGCACCTGGGTTTCGGTAAACAAACCGTATTACCCATGAGGGAAAGGAATAAGGAGTCTCTTCCAGAGCTCTTGCATCGAGACTCCTTCCAATTAAAGGCCATTAACCTACCCCTCACCCAGATGTATAGGTGAGTGTATTAACTTACCGGCCTTTCACCCCTTAAAGGGGTGCCCTAGGTGCACACCGACTAAAGGGAATTACCCTATCTATTACGCCACGGATTGGGGGCAAATGTCTATTTCGCCCCCATCCCCCACCAATTCCTCCAGCACCCCTCTAATACCATTCTGTAAGTTCAACAAAAAACGCTGGTTGCCCAATTCTGAAAGATGTATCCCATCACCCCGATACAACTCTTCATCGAATCGTGTGATGTTTGGGTGTTCAATGTAATGACCTCTCTGACGGATCATAAAAAGACGCATGGCCCGGTTCACTCGCTTCCTGGCTTTTTCGAGCCTCCCCACGTCGCCTCCACCTAGCCATCTGCGACGAGGTATAATAGCGGACCAAACGACGTGCACCCGGGGCCATGTCCACCAAATCTTTCTAATGTCAGCCCGAGCCTGTAAAAAGAGGGCTTTGCCTGTTAACAGGCCCAAATCGTTACCACCGAGGTGGATAACCAAAACATCAGGAGGCAAAACACTCCCGGCACTAAACAACAATGGGCACAAACCGTCCCAACGAAGGCCTCTCTTGCCTCTCCATTCCACCGCCGCCGTGGAAGCGAGACCCAAATGCTGGCCATAGGCAGTCCTGCGGGCCTCTCTCCCTGCCCAAAAGACATAACTGTGTCCACATACCAGGACCCTTCTTCTATGTGCCAGCCCGGAAAGACCTGCAACGATAATAATACTAGGATGAAACTGACCGCACGTAACTCCGGAACGCGCCCGACCTCCATCTACCTATCGATTTAATTTCATCAGCTCCGTATCCCATTGAAGCTGCCGCCGTGGCGGCGCCAATCCTAAAGGAGTGGGTCCCAAATTTAAGATGACCCAATCCCAGGAGGTCTAAGGCCTTGGCTGTAATAGTCCAGAACTGATATTTGGTCAGCGGTTTACCATCCTGGTGCCGAAACAAATAACCTTCCTCACTGCCCCTGAGTGCCGCAAATTGCCTCATGGCCACCACAGGGCACAATTCTTCTTCTCCGCATCTTTGCAACTTAATCACCTGACCCTTCGCTCTCTGGTCAGTCTTTGAAGCTCTAATCCTGACCTCTATGCTCTCCTGAAAAATAGAAACATCGGAGACCAGAAGCGCACGGCGAGAGGTATCACTCTTGGATAATGCCACCAATTCACTCACCCGCATGGCTCCAAAAAATGCAGTCAGCCCAGCTGCATGATATAAAACCTGCTCATAGTAAGAAGCACACAAATTGGGCCACAACTGTTTCATTCCCCTAAGAATCAAAGGCGTCATTGGCTCTCGGACATCCCTAAGATGCCCGCGCTGCCTGGACCAACCCGCCAAAATTTTATGCAATCGAAAGTCATCAGTAACATCAGCAAGGCCTTGGGCCTTAAACCAGAAAGCTAGTGCTGATAACTTTGATCTAATAGACTGTGGTGCTAATCCCTTCCTTCTATGGTATACACAAAACTGCGCCACGTGCTCGTACGGCACAGGCACTGTCTCGGGCAAGCCATAATGCTGCCTAAACTGCAAGAATTCCTGCACTGCCCTGRTGTAAGATTTTCTTGAGCTAGGGGCTAAGGCCAAACGCATACCTAATGCCGTCTCGTCTCTCCAACCCTCCAGAGATGGTCTGGCATGGTCTCCGCCCATACGTCCGCGCCGGGTGCCAACAGCCTGAAGCGCTCCATCTGCATACGAGACAGAGCGTCAGCCAAATCATTATTGATACCCGCAACGTGGAAAGCTCTAAACAATATGTTAAATTTGAGACAATGCAACACGAACTGACGGACAGCCCCCATAACTCTGTGTGACTTAGATGTGAGAGTGTTAATGACCTGTACTGTGGCCATATTATCGCACCAAAAATGGACCGTCGCATTGGCGAAGCTATCAGCCCAAAGCGTAACCGCTACCAAAATAGGAAAAAATTCTAAAAAGGTTAAGTCCGACGTTATTCTCAACACATGCCAATGGTCAGGCCATCTTTCTGCGCACCAGTGCCCTTCAAAATAAACTCCGAAACCTACCGCCCCGGATGCGTCCGAAGCAACTTGCAAGGCATTTTTAACCATCAATTCCTGCCGCCAGAATGAAATCCCGTTAAATTGGCCCAGAAATTGCTGCCAAATGGCCAGATCAGCCTTTATCTCTCTCGTTATTCTAATATGATGATGGGGCAACAACACGCCAGAGATAGCGTCGCATAATCTACGCAAAAAGGCGCGCCCAGGTGCGATGACCTTACATGCGAAGTTCAAATGACCAATGATTTGCTGAAATTCCTTCAAAGCGGCCTTACGCCGCTTCACAAAGAGCTCCAACTTGGCTAACAATCCCTCAACCTTTTCTTCTGGTAACCTCGAAAACTGATTGACTGTGTCCAACTCAATCCCAAGGAATGTCAACACAGTGAGGGGGCCCTCGGTCTTCTCCTCTGCTAAAGGTACCCCAAGCTCCCCCGCCAACTTTTGAAAAGCGCACAACAGGGCACCACAGTCCCCTGACCCGCTTTGACCTACGAAAAGAAAGTCGTCGAGATAATGCACGACGCCCCGAAGTCCCGACTTTTCCTTCGCAGCCCACTCAAGAAAGGTACTGAAGACCTCAAAGGTAGCGCAGGACACCGCGCACCCCATGGGCAAAGCCCGATCTAAGTAAAAGAATCCCTGAAACTGGAAACCTAATAACTCAAAATCGGCCGGATGAACCGGGAGCAGCCTAAACGCCGATTTGATATCGCATTTCGCTAGCTCTGCTCCCGGTCCATACCGCCGCACCAACCGGACAGCTGCATCAAAAGACGTATAAGTCACAGAACATTGCTCGTCGGGGATGGCGTCATTCACCGATCCTCCCCTCGGGTAGGARAAATGATGAATGAGGCGATATTCACCAACTGCCTTCTTGGGAACTATACCCAGAGGTGAAACCCTAAACTGCGACGTGGGGGGTGCCGAAAATGGACCCAAAACCCTACCTTCTTTAACTTCCTTATCTATCTTACTCTTAACTATAGCCTCTAAACCAACAACTGATTTCAAATTAGGCGCAAAAAACGGAGCGTGAGGTCCAACAGCCGGAATCCGAAAACCTTCACTAAAACCYCGGCGCAAATAATCCGCCGCAGCTTTGTCTGGGTATCTCTCTAACCAGCATTTAAGCGGACCCACCCTGATTGGGCTGGGGCCCTTTTGAAACACCACCTTGCCCTGGGTTCCTTTTAATGAACTGCCCGCCTCTCGTCCCGGCTCGAGCCGGCTTTCCTTTGAAACAGCTCTTGGTGGCATGATTTCCCTGGCATATTGCACAGGCGTGTTGGTATTTACAATCCTTACGTGCGCAAACTCCATGGGCCGCATATTCCCAGCACATACCCTTTTGCTTGTGCGGCTGTTGTGCTGGGTTGCCCTGCCGAAAGGGCTGGTTCCCCTTTGCATTCTGTATCGTGTGGCCGCTATCGGCCTTCTCACCAGATATAGCCCTGGTGGTATTCATCACTTCCATCCATAACTGGCTGTCAATGAGATCCCATCTTTTGTCAGGCTTTGTAGCGGCCTCAGATCGAAAACGCCTGTCATAAACCAACCAGGCCTGGCCCATGTAGTTGACATAAGCCCCGTATATAATATTCTGATACTTAAATAAGGCCTTGGCCCTATAAGGATGGGCCTCAACCAACAAGGATGCATATATGGTGTAGCATGCAATCCAATTCTTCCAATTCTGCTCAACCCTCCTATGCTTTAGCTTTTCTTTTCGCTCCTCATCTAAATCTTCCTTTTCTTTTTTATCCAATTCCCTAAAATACAACGAAAAAATATCAATATACTCATTTCTGAGTATCTTGTCAATTGTCTTCTGCGACAAGTGAGATCCCAAAGATGCAGAAGCCGCTGTAGTAACTACTGGTAGAACCCACTTATCTGTACCCCAATA